TTTCAGTGGATTTCTAAAACTGATAGTACAGGCTGAAAAACCACCGCACCTGTTCAGTTGTGCGCACTGGAAATCGAGAAGCACGGGTAGGCTTTTCTGTGGGTCTAAGTATAAGACCCTCAGACAAGAGGCATAGTTAATTGGTTCGGAGGTTGTTATACATTTAATAGCTTCTCTAACACAATAATTTTTCTTTAAAAAGGAAAAGACTAAACAGGAGTCAGGGGGAGGTGGTTCTCCACGATTGCAAATCATAATAAAATAATAATTTTTTTAATGTACATCTCTCACATAAATTTCATTTTGTGAACACACTGGTAAATGCACGATGCTGGGGCTTCCAAAATGTGGCGTATCCCACTGATGGCTCCAACTTGCAAGTGGGCTCAGCTCTGTAATTGGAATGAAAGGAATTTTAACACTATTTAGACAAAGACTCAAATGCAGCGTAAAGGGGAAAGCTAGATTTCCTTATATGATTTTTTTTTTTTTAAATTTGGAGACTTATTTGTAAGAAATGGTGGCTCCTATGCAGGACTTAGGAGTTCTTTATAAAAAAGCATGTATTTGTGTTTGGCACTCAACACTGTATTTCTAAGTTTTAAAAAATGCCTTTTACTAGGAGTTAGCCTTCTCTTAAAGCCAGCCACCCAAACCCCATTTTTTTTTTTTTGCCAGCACCACTGTACTTGATTTTATAATGTTTAGGGGCCCAAACCTGCTTCTGATATTGAATGCTTTGCAGATGCCTGTCAAAATGTTTGTTACACAACTATATCTTGCACCCAATTCCAGGCCTCAGTCTTTGTGAGATAACTGCAATAACTACATCCTGATTGTCACTGTTATTCGGAGAATGTGTCTGCCTTAAAATCTTTCATGAGATGCTGAGCTTTTTGTAAAAGTGGTATCTCCAATGCTACTACTTCAGAGGGAGGCTGTGTATCTCCTAGTTGTGATCAGAAAAAAAAAAAAAAAAAAATCTCTGAAGCCACAAACAGCTGACTTCCAGCACATGGGAGTAGGTTTACTATTAAGACTTTTGCTAAGCAAAATTAAGTGTGGTTACAGGAGCTATATCCAAACTGGCACATAAAAGAAGGTCAAAATGTAAAGGGTCTATACACTGTCTTCATGTTGTGTGAAAAAGAGGCAGGAAGGCCAGATGATAAACTGTCCAGAACTCGGCAGCATCAAGCACAACCTGTTTTCTTCAAAATAAGGCTTTCGTTCAGAGTTGCAATATTATCTTTTTTTTTTTAAATAAAAAGAACTGAAAACAAAATAAAACAAAAGTCATCGTGTTTGACTATATTTTCAAAACAGTGCTGGCTTTGTCTAACATTCTATTAGTGTTCCAGGGGAAGTTGACTAAGAGTGCATGAATTTGTAACATTAGTTACATGAATTTGTGTCATTTAAAAATAGGTCAATGCTTAAGAGTCCTACTAGTGAAGATAGCTAGAGTCTTTCCAAATGATCTTTAAGTTAGTCCCTATACACAGCCTGTTTGGCGTTACATACCAATATATCAAAGCACAGTGTATATTCCACGAAGGTGGAATATTTTCTGCTTGTCTTTCTGGGGATAACATGATCTGAAATCATTACCGGCTTGTTTAAGTAGAAAAGTTCTCCATGAATATTTACAGTGAAATATGATTTGATAACACGGTTTAAACCAGATATGTACTTGGAGTTATGAAACTAAGGGGTAAATTTTATTTTTCCTATTTAAGACAAATGACCTTCAGTGTTAAAGGAATAAAAGCAAAAACAAAACAAACAACTTGGATTTGTCCAAAGTGTTTATGTTAAATCTTGTCAGGCCTTGCTAACAAGAAAATCATGGTGTGTAAGGAAAGAAGGAAAAATAATCAATTTTAGCCAAAAGGCAAGAATTGTTTATCTTTATCATTAAATGCATATGTGCCCAAGCCACCTCTGATGCGCCTTATCTGCCTGCCTCATTGCTCCTTAGATGGGTTTGTTCCTAGATCAGAAGTGTAGGGCCATGTTCAGGAAGCCCAATGCCACTGTTTTGTTTTTTTTTTTCTTTCTTTCTTTCTTTCTTTTTTCCCCCCACCAAAGGGCAATGATGATGGCTTAACTCATTTGAAAACTAAAAACTTTCAGGAGGAAAAAAAAAATGAGAGGTCATAATTTACATCTATATTAAATATCGCTAATCACTATATAGGGCCAGGCTCCTCGCCTCACAAAACAGCCTAGTAATTCACCCTGAATTGACTCCCTATTCTTCCATTATTCCTTCCACTGAAGAAAAAGATGGATTTTACACTTCTAATGCAGTTGTTGGGCCCAGTTAAACTGTACACTAAGAAACTGAGTACAGAATCAAAAAAAAATGCAGTTTATTATTGTAGATTATTCTTTCTCTTGATATAACCAGAATTGAAAATGAAAGAAAAGCACATAGGAACATCACGCGTGGTTAGTTAGTAACTCAAGATATAAAACAATTTTGCACAGCAAAATATGTAAAAGAAAAGTAACTGACAAGATTTTTTATATTTATTGTGGTAAGATTTACTTTTCATTTCTTTTTAAAGACAGGATGTCAGTCCCTGAAAATAACATTTACTGATTATTGCCTTTAAAACTGTGGATTTTTTTTAAGTTACAGAAAATCCAGTTCTGCACCACAATACAACTGTAAAAAAATCTGCATCATCTTAAAACTGTGCAGTAATGCCATTTTTATAACTGCATAAATTTTATTAGCGTTCTAAACAGTTTTGCAAATTTTTTTGTATTATATGCTTGCAGGTTATATCTTAGTGCAATTCAGTCCCAAATACTTTAATTTTGAAAAAAAAACATACATTTTGAATGTAAAATACCCCTACAGATATAAACAGGGGTCTTTCCCCTTTTAATACTTTGGTTTTCAATACAGTCAGTGGTATAGCAAAGACTACACATACCCAACTTATGTTTAAGTTGCAAGCACATGCTGTATAAGCTACTTTTTTTAAACAGTCCCCTTGCAAACTCTACCCCCCTTAACATCACAACAGTAAACAATTTAGTGCATCAATCTTTGAAAAAATCTACAGCTAAACAGACCTAACTCTTTCAAATTTATCTATAACATTCCTTTATCTGTAGCATACATTTTAACTGGGCTAACAGATTATAAAAACTAGAATTAAATTATATACTAGAAACCCATAGCATTCCACATTTGACAATGACCAAAAGCCAAAAAAAAAAAAAAAAATTAACAAAAAAAATAAAAATAAAACAAACAAAAAATAATGGGGCAGATTTATCTTTTTTAAAAAATAAATTTTAGACTGCTTTCGGCAACAGCACAATTTTAGTCCCCAAAGTGGGGCATCATTCTTATTAAAAAGGTAACATTAAGAGTTCTTTAATGTTTGCCATGTTAAATTTGTAACCCATACTGGTGTCTTTGACAAGGAATGCCTTCAGTGCATTTACATTGGGAGGCTGAAGTTCTGAGTAACTCAAAGCAGTTTTGGAGTAGATGCAAACTTTCATGAGAAGAAGGCTCTAGGGTTGCACTTTTTTGTTCTGAACTCAAAAAAGTCATGAGGCAATAAAACAAAAGTATGAGTGCCATGCTATAAGTCTTCGAACGTCCATTTCCAAGCCAAAAAGAAAAAAAAAAGAAAAAAAATAATTATACCATACATGTCCAGCATGCAGGCTTCTTTTTTTTTTATTAATATAATGTCTCTTTTCCATAAAGTCTTTGAAACAGTTATAGTTCATTGTTGCTAAGACAAAGTAGCAAGCATAATAATGCATGAGATGAGAATGAGTTTTTTTAATGGCAGACTAAACTCTCAGATTTGGCATCACAAGGCCAAAATTCACAAGTCACACCCAGAAGGTTGATGCAGGCTTGATTGTGGCAGGTTCATGAGGATTTTTTTTTCTCTATTTTAGCATAACAATGCTAAAAACCCGATGGAACTCAGCACGCTGCAAGTCTATAACATTTCACATTTTTTTTTCCTTTGCAAGCTCAATCTCACATGAAGAACTCAGGAGAAGAAAAAAAAAACTTTGCTTTTTTTTTTTTTCTTTTATCTTGGAGGAGATGGGTGAAGGAGGGAGTGAGGGTGAAGGCTGGGTAAAAAGGTGGGCAACACAGCAAGCTCCAAAAGTAAAATTAAAAAAAAAAAAAAACAATCCAAACAAAATAAAACACACACACACACACAGAAAATGAACACCAGCTCATGAACTGAAGAAGGAAAAAAAAATATATATATATATGTGAATGATGCAGGTTTCAAAGGTGAGCAACGTTTCACATGAAGAACTCTGCTGAGATCTTTGAACATTGTGCAAGTCCGGGATGGGGGGCGTGTAAAAAAAAAAAAAAAAAACCAAGCTAGCAAGTTATGGAGAATTTCAGATTGGCAATCCATGAGCCAGACACCCAATTCCTCCCCCAACTTAAAACAGCCACCACCACCACAAACTCGGAGCAGGGTGCGTGTGCGTGTGCGTGTGCTGTGCTGTGTGTGTGTAAGTGTGTGTGCGCACAGGCCAGGGGCAAACTCGGCAGGGAGGGGCGACGTGGTGGCGAGCGTGTCTCTGGCACTAGCAAGCCCACACCCGAGCCGGACCCCCACGGAGCACTTATCAGGGTGGCTAGCTGGGATCGCGTGTCAGACTCACATGAAAAACTCGGGAGAGGACGGGTTGTCGCTGCTCGAGCCGTTTTCTCGGAAGCCGCTGCTCACCAACTTCTCGTACTTCTCCTTGTACGCGTCCCTCTCGCGCACCAGCCTGGAGATCTCCTGCTTGAGGTGGTCGACTTGCTGCAGCAGCTGGTTCTTCTCGGACTCCAGGACGTGCCTCTGCTGCACCCTCTTGAAGCGGCAGGACTGGGCATAGCCGCGGTTTTTCAGGGTCCGCCTCTTCTGCTTCAGCCGGATCACCTCCTCCTTGCTGACCCCGCGCAGCTGGCGGTTCAGCTCGCGCACCGACATGGTCACCAGCTGCTCGTCGGAGAAGCGGTCGTCGAAGTGCAGGCCGCCCGCGGCGTGGTGCGGGTGCAGGGCGCCCCCGGCCCCCGCCGCGCCGCCGCCGCCGGCCGCCGCCGCCGCCGGCGCTGGCCGGCCGCCGCCGCCTGCGCCGCCCGCGCCCGGCGAGGCGGACGCCTGCCCGGCGCCGGGCCGCGCCGTCGGTGGTGGGTGGTGGCTGGCTGCGTGGTGGTGGTGGTGGTGGTAGTGCGGGCCCGCGCCGCTCTGCGCGGCGGCCGCGGCGATCACGGCGGACACCACGGCGGCGGCGGGGCCCATCTCCTCGCCGCTGCCGCTCAGGGAGGCGCCGGCGCCGGCCCCGGCCCCGGCCGCCGCAGCCAGCTGCTGCGCCCCGCGCGCGTAGCCATCGAAGCCGCCCTGGAGCTGGTGGCTGTTGCTGATGAGCGCCTCGACCGCGTCCTCGGGGCTGAAGCCCAGCGCCTCGGGGTTCAGCTGCTGCGGGTAGCCGGTCATCCAGTAGTAGTCTTCCAGGTGCGCCTTCTGCTCGCTGCCCGAGCCCGGGCTGGGCGCCGAGAAGCTGGGGGAAGGGGGCACCGAGCTGCACGGCGTGCTCATGGGGGTGGAGGACAGCGAGCCCCCGGCGATGAGACGGCCGCACTGGCTGATGATGCGGTCGGTCTCCACCGGTTCCTTTTTCACTTCAAACTTCATCAGATCGAAGTCATTAACATATTCCATGGCCAGGGGACTGGTGGGCAGGTCGGAGTTGCTCATTGCCAGTTCTGATGCCATTCTCCTGCCGCCGCCGCCGCCGCCGCCGCTCCGCCAGATGGGCTGCAGGAGAGGGGCCAGCGGGCTGTGCTGGGTGGCCAGCGGGTGAGCCAGCTTGCCGGGCTGGGGCGCTTCTAGCTCGCGCGGCGGTGGCTGGCCCGAAACCTCCGAGCGCGCTCACACCCCCCCGCCCTGCCCGCGCCCCCCGCGCCCGCCCTCCCTCCCCCTGCTCACGCCAATGTGCTCGCTCGCTCGCCCCGGCCCCTCCTCGCTTGCTCGCTCGCTCGCTCGCTCGCCTCCGTGCGCGCCGAGCCGGCGGCTTCAGGCTCGGGAAGGTCCTCCGCTGGCTGCGGCGGTGGCGAAGCCGGAGGAGCCCGGCCCGGTGCGCGGCGTCCCCCGCTCGCCGCTCCGCTGCGCGCTTTGCATAAGGAGGGCTCGCCTGGCCGGCCGGGGCTGCGGCGGGGCGCGCGCGGCGGCCGCTCGGGGCTGGAGGCGCGGCGGGCGGCTGTCCGGGCGGCGCGGGCCTTGGCACGGGGGAGTTAACACTTCATGCTTCTCGCCTCCTCTTCTGCCTGGCTCCCTTTATTATTTTTTTCCTCTCCTCTCTCTGTCTCTCCCCCTCGCGCGCGCGCTCTCTCTCTCCCTCCGTGCAAAGTGCAAGACAGAGGTGCAGCCGGGCTGGAGGAAAGGGAGGGGGGAGTTTAGTTCTTTCTTGCCGTTTTTTTTTAAAAAAAGCAAAATAGCGAAGTCCTGGGGAAAAGACGAGGCAGAGAGCAGACGGGGGAGGGGGAGGCCGAGCCGACGAGCAGCCGGAGCTACAGCTCGAAGATGAAAAAAGATTTTAAAGCCTGATCCAGCAAGAAGAGTTTAAAGCAATTGCTGAGTTTTATAGCACTCGTGACGTCAGGTCCAAATGGGAAATTGACTGGCACTCCCGGCCAATGGGAGGCGGCGAGAGCGGCCGCGATTAGCATAATAGTATAGAAACAAGGAAACTTTTCGGAGCTGTCAATCAGGGCCCAATCAGCTGACTGTCAGCTGGGACGGGCCGGCTTAACCCTTCCGGCGCCGCAGACTCCCCGGGAAGGAGCAAGGCCCCGGCGCAAAGTTTGGTGTAAGAGGGGAAGGAGTTTTACAGAGGGGGCTTTGAGAACCCAGGCGGACCCGGGAGGACGGTTTGCTTTTCTTTGGAGCGCGAGAGAGGCCTGCCTTCCGGACCCCCGGCTCCCCAGCCACTTTGTCCGCCGGGATCGGCCTGACTCCCCTCTCCTGCCTGCCCCCCACCCCCGGGACTGTGCATTCCATTCGCCTAGCTGCCTTTCCTCCTAGCTTAACCTTAGGCACCCAGGTATCTGCCGGGGGACCGTCCTTCCCTGAGCCTGGCGGTGCCCAGAGCTCAAACTTGCCCCAGCTCTTTGTACCTTTCCAGGGAGCCCGTGCGCGGGGTGACGGAGAGAGGACGGTGCGCTGGGGCACCGGGATCAGGGCTGAGAACTGGACGCCGCCCCGCCGTGCGCCCGCCCGCGCGGTTCGGAGCCCCACGGAGAGAGAAAACCCCTTTATCACCCTCTTTTAAAGGAGGTAAAATAAGTTGCTTAGGGGCCATTCTTTGCGGGGACTGGCTTCCCGGTGGCGCCGCGTGCCCTTGGATGGAGCGAGCTCCCGGGCGAGTTAACTCCGGGAAAGCTCAAAGTCAGGGCAACTGGGCTCACCCCTCCAGCTTCCCAACTCCCGCTGGAGTTTGGCCTTTCAGGTTCATATCCCCTCCCCACACCCCCGGCTCACCTATCGCCTTGTGAAATCTGACCCCTGTTTATCAGGGTCAGGTGCGCCCTTTGCACTTTTACGTTTCACTTAATTATTGCGGACTCGGATCGTGGCGGGGAACGAGGGGGAAAAACAATGCCCCAGTCCTCTCCAGCTCCCCTCAAAGGGTTAAATTTTAAACCGCCGGTTTCTCGGACAAGCCCGGAAACCCGTAGTGGGGGTGGGGTGAGGGGAGGCTGCTCCCCCCATCCCCCCCGCCCCCCCCCGCTGCAAATGCTAATAACCAGTTCAGTTTTCTAGATAGATTCTGTTAAACCTTATGCAAAAAAGTAAAAAAAAAAAGAAGAAGAAGAAAGAAAAAGAAAAGAAAAAGAAAGAAACCAACAACCCTGTTTCTAAGATTTTAAAGCGATAGGCAAGTCGGAGAAGCTGAGATTCGTTGGGGGAAAGCGAGAGAGTGCGCTGAGCGACCCCGCGTTTGGAAGACCAGCCCTCCCGCTGGGAAGTTGAGACTGTTGATTCCTCCAATTAATGAAATGCATTTGGTGTTAATCGTATTTATTTTACTTTATGGGAGGGGGAGACGCTAGGAGGGTGCATTAAAAAAAAAAAAAAAAAAGATTCTGAAAAGCCTGCAAAGAGGATCGAAGAGTGGAAACTATTGTTGGACCGAGTTGGTTTTTGCCACAACAGCGCCACCTTTCGGCAAAGGTCAGTTGAAATTGATCCGTGTCCAGTTTTGTTGGTGAAGTGAGTGTGGAAGGAGGAAGGAGGCACAGAAAGTTAGTGGGACTGCAGTGGGAGACGCCGCCGACCCTGTAGGAAAGGGGCCCCAGAAAGTGCTGGCAGATGCGGGAATCATTTCGTCCCCTCCTGGCCTCCTTGAGTGTTGACAAAAGAGGCCACAGGGGGACATAGACACCCTCCGGGCATAGTTCTGGCTGAGTGACCTTTGCAAAGCGTGATCCCATGTAACCACAGGGCCCCAAACCCTTTAAAAGTGCCAGGATGGATTTTCAGCGGGCTTTATGGCAATATCAATAGAATTAAAGTTACTTGTAATTCAGTGATAAATGAGATGTCTCGAGTAAGTAAGATTAAGTGCAGTGCTATAAAGTTGTTTATCTGAAAAGTAATTCTCAGAAAACCTGACTTCTGACACTTAGTCATATATTAAGCCAGCTTCCTGAACATTGCACTTGAGAATGGTCTTACCCTCCCCACAGCATACTTTACTATTTATAACGAGACCTTAGGTGTCTCTCACTAGCTTCCTGCGCTAGATCAGACCTGTGCTCTTTTCTCTGATCCTGGCAGCAGCAAACCCAGGAATCCTTAATAAGAGACTCCCCAAAAGATTTGCAGGCACATCCTAATCCTAAAAGACCAGCGCTGTTTGGTATTTTACTGACAACACTTTTTTTTTTTTCATCATTACTGCTGAGAAGTTGTCTCTAAGGGTAGTTTTGGTTTTATAGGAGCATTTTGTTGAGGTGGAATAGACTATGTCTATTACCAGTTTGGGGAAGAAAGAGTGAAGGTTGTGCCAATATTTATGCAACCTGGTAGAATTCCCTTGCTTTCTCCCTCTTTAACTATATTTTACCTAGCAATGAAGTTGAGGGATTACAGTTTATGTATTCGGAGGAAAATCCACGGCTTAAATTACATAAACATTATGTCATTTAGTATTGTCCATAGCCATGGTTGTCTAGGTCTTTTTAAAAAAATCAGTAGCCACAAATGTCGGAAGTCTATATGTTTCATGTAAAATATGAATGTCAGTGTATTTAGAAAGAATTCTTTTTTTGTTGTTCATGATTCTTTTAAAATCCTTTTGCATCACATTTTTGTTAAAAAGCTGTAAGGTATGGTAGATGCTTCCCCAAAAAAGTATTTTTGGCCAGGAACACTGAAACTGCTACATTTATAAATATATGCAATATTTTATGAACAAAGTTCGCTAATGACAAAGACCATGGCATATAAATTCATGGCTGCATACCTGATCGTTGCATTGTTATATAGCATTTCTAGAAATTAAATGCCCATGTTTGGGAAGCTATATGTATGATGATCTGCACATTTTTTATGGCTTATTTTTGTACACTGCTGTCAAGCCATGATATTTTTCTTTCCCTTCTTGCAGAGTCGTTTATAGTGTCCCCTTTTCTCTTGAAAAAAGAGGATCATAATTATTTTTTGGATGTGTAGCAGCAGGGCTCACAGGCTTGTAAGTTCATTCTCGTTTTTGTCCTTTTTACTTTATTATTTAGTGATTCACAGGGGTGTCTAAACATTTACAGTTCTCTGTTAGCGGCACTTCTTTTATAACAATTGAGCTCTCTCATTTTAATTAGTACTATTCAGGTTTTTGATTCTCTACAATTACAGCGGGCCACATTTCTTTAGACTTCTTTGCTAACATTGTTTGTTTCACTTCCATCCAAGCCAATCTAATCCAAATACAATGTGAACTGTGTTTTCTCATTGCTTAATATCCCTTTGCCATATATACTCTAGTAATCTCTGTCAAACAATATACAGTAATTTAGAAACCATGCATTTGTCATTATTGACCAATTTGAGCCAGTAGCATTAAAGTTTCTGGAAGCAATGAATATTTACAGATTTTTGAGGAGGAGTAGGCATGGGTCGAATCACGTAGAATATTGTGAAACACTCCCATCAAAAACACGATTTTAGTTTCATGTCAGTGCATACATAACATCTTCATGCAAGAAAGAAAAACCAAACCCTTCTGTTCCTGACCAAATGACAAAGACTAAAAGCTAAAAGGGATATATTTTTCCTGATTGTGAGTTATAGTAACTCCAGTGTTTTATGTTGGAATCAGGCATACATAATCCGAATAGAATGGGATGTTTCAAGTATAGTATCTGAAGTCTGTTTATCTAGGAGCTGATTTTATGAAGCAGAACTAACCAGTGTCCACTAAATTTCACAATGAAACCAACTAAATTGATTTGAGAAAGACTTCTTCAGAGTAACCGAATGATAAGGCACGCACTGTTCTTAGATCTAGTGTTAGAGAAATCCTTTTAACAGTCTTCAGTTAGCCGGGTAAGTAAATCACAAATCACTGTTAGCGGATTCAGGGAAGAAAATTAATAGAATCAGACGAGATAATCTGATAAGGGTAAAATTGCTGAGGAAACAGTCTTGCCTCATATTGGGGGATGTGAAACAACAGTCTGATTACTAGGAGTCTTTATGAATAGGTGAATTATGTGCTAAATAATCATCAGAGTAATTCAGCATTTATTAATTCTTTTCTCTTTAAGCAATTCACAGTTGTAAGTTAAAGCCGCCCTCTCTTTGAAGACACATCTTTTATAATTTTTATTAGAGGTAATTTATTATTTGCATTACCTGTATTTACTTCATAATTGAACATTTTGCATTCAAATTTATGTAATGCATTATGCTTGAGAATATATTTCTGCCTGATTAGCATAAATAGTCACTTACCTCATGAATTACTAACAAAGTTTATCTTAAAATATAGGTTTTTTATTAAGTGGAACACAAACATATGTACAATAAATTCTGATTTTCCGGCGCAGTTAGAGAACAACTCACATTTGGTTACGGGGACGCGAGGAGAAGAAGCAAAATACACACAAATGAAATTTGTTAAGTTTCTTTCCAAGGGTATCATTCAGGTAGGGGTGTGTAGGGGTGGGGTAGGGGGAAAAGTAAAGGAGAAGGTGTCGTGCTTTTCATATACTGTTTGGATTATTTGTTGGATGATCTTGACATGAAATGTGGATTGTGGAAAAACCTGTAATTAGAGAGATCTCTACCTTTGTAGAGGACCTGTGATAGCAAGTAAATACCAGTGACAGAGTTTGGGGGTACTGCTTGTTTGTATTTTTAATTTGTTTGTTTACTTGTTTTTTGTCTCTGCAGGGTTCTTCCTTAGAACACAATACACAGCATTTAATGAAATGCTTGTTTGTTTGGCAGGAGAGATGTGAAAAACCCAGATGTTCTCTGCAGTGAGAATTCCGGGGGAGGTGTGGCTGTCTTCTTCCCCACAGCCATCCCACAAAGACGGCCAGCATGGCCTGGCAGACAGGCGAGGTTTAAAACATAGTTTTGTGCACACACGAACGTTGGAGGGAAAGGACTTCTCTTGGTTTTAGGCAATAGACAGAGATATAAGAAGATGGGGCCTATTTCCCTGGTCTTGCTATTCCAAATCAACAGATTTCCAGGGTTTTCTTTCTTTCTTTTCTTTTTTTTTTTTTTTCTTCCCTCTTTCCTTTTTCAGAACATAGATTTTTCTTTTCCATCAATTAGGGAATGCTTAGGATTCGATCTTCCCCTATCATCCCTTTTGATCCTGTTCACAGCTTATACCAGTGAGGGAATTTGTCTCAAAAGCATTCAGCCCTTCAAAGATTTTTATTGTGGTGAACGCAGAACTGATTAAAAAAGAAGAACACACACACACAAAAAAACCCCTCAGGAATAGAAAAGGAGACCTGCCTGATATCGGAACTATCTTTATCCAGGCTGTGTCTTTTGTGCATGATAACTCAGAGGACGGGCTGGTCGGCCGTGCCAGCCCTGGAAGGTTCTGTTCACCCTCCTTCCTAACCCTGATGATGGGTTGATTCATGGCTCCTGTTCCAAAGGCATTTAGCAGCCGTTCGACCTGGGAAGGAATTGCAGTTCTAGAAGGTACAGAACAGAATCAAATACTCCTGAGATTACCAGGATGAGTAAGTTGATGCAGACGACCTCTGAACGTGTGCGTTTCTACATTTGTCTGTGTGGGGCCCGAGGACAGATGGCCCCGTTTGACATGTTAGCTCTTGGTTACATCCTGGGTGCTGTAGAACATTCTCTGGTGGTGTTCTGTGCACTGCCACCACCAAACATGCACGGTGACACCCTCATGGCATCATCCGTCACGACACAGTGTTCCTGATCTGGTGAAGAACAGAAAATTGGGCTACCCCCCCACCCACCCACCCACCCAAATAAAAATTAAAGCAAACTTTATAGACTTCTGCTAGCATTTTGTATTTAGTAACCTTATGGCAGTGATACATGTTCCTTGTTAAATATAAACGTGTGAACTAGACAGAAATAGGAGGGCATCAAACAACAGGACTTCTAGTCCTCATTTTCACCCCAGCCCCTAATCTTGGTCTTAGGGGTTCCCATCTGTAGTCATTGGGACATGTGTGTATACTTTTCGCAGAATGGACTCATAGCATGCACAGAGTTCTTTAACTTGTGCTCCCTTTAAAACACATCCACCAAGAAAAGAAGAAAGAAAAAAAAAAAGAAATAAAAAAAAATAATAATAAAACACATCCACCTTCACAACAGCAAAAAGAGGTTTTGGGCACTTCTCTATTCTTTGATGGAATTCATCTAATGGAATCTCAGCTTGGGAGGAGTTGGATATCTGATCTTAACATCTCCTTTCAAGCAATGCACAAATCTGAGTCGGCTTTATAGACCCTGGCAGTGAACTGGCGGCACGCAGGCCCAACTTTTCCGCTAGGTACGGTAGACACAGGGCCCACTCGAATGTTTGGGGTCCACAAAAATGTTTTAATTGCTTTTAAAAATCCAGAGAAAAGAAGGAATATAATCTAGCATGGATGATATCTGTTGTCATACTAATGAAGTCATAAAATATAACAAAAAAAATTTTTGTATAGAAAAAGAGGTCACTGGGAAGTCAAAATGCTCAGGGCCCACAAAAGTCCACACATAACTCTGTCAGCACGTACTTGATCATCTCCAGTGACGAGGGGCTCACTACCTCTCAATTTGACCTTCTACCGTATCCATATATCTTCCCCTAGTTCTTGAGGTTGTAAAGACAGCTTTTTGTTTGTTTGCTTTAGCATGAAGTCACACTCCCTTTTATACATTAGTCCTGATTTTTCATATTCATGAGCCCATGCATACTAAGTCCTCCTATGTCAGAGAGTCTTTTGGGAAGTTGGAGAAGGCCAATATGACACCCTTCTCCTGCCTTTTGTTTTTCATTCTAAACATAGTCCCTTGAACATTTCCACACATGCCTTGATTCCAAGTGCCCCTGCCTCCTGGTTGCCAGTTCCCAGGTGGACCCACCTGGCTCCTGCTGCCCTCTGAGGGTTCAAGTGTCACAAGGGAACCCAGATGCCCAGGTGTGAGCCTCTCATCACAGAGCGAGCACCACACTGCGCCTCCCCCCTTGAGCTGCAGTCCGTCTGCTCCGGATGCAGACCAGAATTTCAGAGCCTCTCTGGCACACACATAACTCTGGTAACTCTCCGAGCACGGACAGTGCACTCAAGCCCGGGCCCTTTGCACCTCACCGCCCCCCCCCACCTCCATCCTATATTTGTGTGCCGATGTGTTTGAACCCAGGCATGGAAATGTACGACGGTCCCCCCCGCAGGCTCCGTCTCCTTAGATTCAGCGTGTTCTTGGCTTGTCGAAATCTCTTTGGATCTCGGGTGTGCCATCGACTAGTTTTAATTTGCTTCCCAGCTCAGTGCCAGCTGCAGATGAAATTGATGTGCTTTTTATACGACTTACCCGCTCTGAACCGGGTCCCTCGTCTGCAAATGGAGTATTGTCAGGACTGGAGACTGTGCCTGTGAAGTGTCTCCTACGGCCTGACCCCGGGGGAGCTACCTAAGTGGCTGGTGCTCTTGTGACTTTCCGTCTGTCCCCCTGAGTGGTTGATGACAACATTGGAAGGAACCCAGCCCTGTGGCATCCTGGAGACTGTCCCACCCAACTCCCAATGATTGTGCAAACTAACCCACCTGCCCAGCCGAGTCCCCTAGTGGACATTGCAAACTGACTCGGTCTGTTCGGTAATTGGGATAATTTTAAAGTAAATGACCCCATCTGGGTGTCCTACACATTCCCTTCGAATCAATTCTAATGTAACTTCACTTTTTTTGACCGTGTAGGCAAAGCTCTCCGTTGAAGAAGATAGATGACCAGATAATTGATTCACGTTTCACACCTGCCTTTGTCTTCGTAAACCTTTGCCCTGTAAAAAATACATAGCAGTTGTCCAAAGTTGGGACCTCAGAGACTAATAAAAAATAGTTGTAACCCAGAAAAACTAAGTGAAAGAGCCCTGTGTAGGTACAAAAGTGTATTTGAGATCAGTTCTTTCCTCCCTGTTTTTTTTTCTCTTGTTTAGATCACCCACTTCCCTGTCATTTCCCGACGCCAATTTTGTAGCAAAGGGGGCGGGGAGGTGCTCAGAGACATTTTCTTGAACAGAAGAGTTCAGAGATTCAAGTGTCCACCTTTGAGCTGCAACTCAGAGCCCCCTGGTCTCTCTTGAAGGGATTTAAATGTTCAGGCTTTTGCAGAATATCCTGTTGGAGGCTTCCCCCCTCCCACCCACCCCCCTCCGGCCCCTTGCCCCTGTTTAGAGAAACTTGGGAACCAGCCATGAGTTATTTATGATCGACAGCCTGTGTCCTGCCTCAGGGAGCCAGCCTGGGCCATGGGGGCTCAGGAGCAATGGTGGGGACACTTCAGGGAAGCCTGACTGGCCGTTGACTGTCGGCTGGGCTCGGAGCTGCTGAGTGACTGGGCTGGGGCGCTGTCTGTCGCTGTGATGCGCTGCACTCTTGGCAGACCCGGGTGGGGGAAGGGAGAGCGGCCTGGGGACCGCCTGGGGACCCAGCGTCTGCAGTCAGCCCGCAGGTCTCCTGCAGAGTCACCCCCTGACCTCGGCAGAGCTCTTCCCTCTCTCCCTCCAACTCATTTCTTCAGGCTGCAAAGGAACTGCACTGCAGGGAGAGGTTACACAAACCCTCCGGATGGCAGGAAGGAACGTCTCAGCCCTCCCAGGCTGAATACAGGGTAGGGAAACGGGGACCAGTCACCCGCAGACACAGAGGAGAGCTGACAGGCTGGGCTGTCGAGGGGGCCTCCGCGGGTCGTAAATGACAAAGTCAGAGTATCTTTGAGGTCACGGTGACAGACGCAGCCGGGCAGGGTCGGGGCGGCCAGGCCAAACCCTCCTCCTGCACCTCCAGGCCAGAGGATGCCGTGGTTGTCCGTTGAATCTCAGAGCCTTTGGCGGCAGCACAGAGAGAAAAGAAGCATGGATCTCTGAGGGTCCCGGAGGGGACACCTGCCGGGAGGTGCCTTGCTTTGGCACCTCACGGACGAGGCTCTGAATCCTGCTCTGCCCCATGCAGGAGACCATGGGCGAGTCAGCTCACCTCTCTGGGCCTGAGTTTTCCTCGTCAGAGGTGGAGAGGGTTTCTGTGACCATGACGAACGTGCGGACCCAGCACTTGGCACGGTGCCTGCTCTGTCCTGAGCGCTCAAAAGAACGTGACCGACGAGCACGTGCCCAGGACGGTGCCGACGTTCCCTGCACGCTATTTCGTGGCATGGGGCGTAGGGCATGCTAGGGACTTGGGGAATATTTTCCCTCCTTCCAATCTTTTATGCTCCTGTCTGAAAGTCGTGCCTATGCCTCAACCTGGCCTCTTTCTTTCCCTCGCTCCTGAGTCCGCACAATTTTGCTCCCCTGGAATTCCACCCTCTCCTCACCTTCCCTGTGCTCTGTCCTGTTTCCTGGCTCATTTTGACTCTTTTTCAGGTCTTAGGGGTTTCTCTTAAAAGCCTTACCTGTGTCCTCCTGTCCGTTGGCACTCAAGGCAGGCCAGGAGCCTGGTCTCTGTGCCACTGCGTTCTGTGTTCGAGAGTCTCACGTGCTGTATCAGTCCCCTGCTTGGCCACGAGTGTCTTCAAGCCGGGGACGGCACCACTCACTGCTCCATGTCCTTCGCCTACTGCAGTGCCTGGCACACAATAGGCGTTCAATACACGTCTATTCCACGAAAATAACCAAACACTCAGATTCCTCACCTCTTTCTTTTTTTTTTTTTTTTTCTGAAGCTCTAACCCACACAGAATGTCCTGCCAAATGTCCCAGAAAGCATGCCTTCGGAAGGGGCAGGGTGTCTGGCTGCTCTGTTGCAACCCAGCAGTTCTGACATTCACCTCTTGCTGGTAGGACTGGCCCATCCTCCAATTACCGGGATGTGTATCTTGCTCACTGGTTAGCATATGCCTATCTGTCTGAGACGCAAATGGGTGGAAAATGTGGTTGAGATGTGCAGGCCCTGGAGCCGGGGTGGGTTGCCATGAGTCTTGCTGGGATGGAAGTGTGCATGAAGGGAGGGATGGGATGAAGTGCTTGAGTGTGAGCAAGGCGTCCTCTTCCGGCCCTGCCTGCCGCTGCTGGAGGGAGCCCTGGTGCAGCTTTGACTCAAGGCTGCTTCCCCAGGGCTTCAAGGCACATGGGCGCTATTTTGTAATCCTAAGCTAAGAATGCAAGACCCGCCCCCGTTCCCACATGCCCAAGCCCTGCCCATTCTCCAAGGCGCAGCTCATGTGCAATGTCGCACCTGAATCTCTGAGCACAGTACCTGGCAACTAATAAAGGCCAGCTGCTGACACCATGGCTCCGGCTCCGGCTCCAGCTCCCTCCTGGGCTCCCACCTTGCACTCAGGGGTCCCCACAGTTGTAGCTCGACCTCTTTTTGGGAGCCTTGCAGTGTATTTATCAGGTACAACAACTTACCACTTACTGGTTGTGTGATCTCGGAGGGTTCCTTATGTGCTGTTTGAGTTTCAGTGTCTTCATGTGTACACTGCAATGGCAGTTTTAGCCCTCTTTGGGCTGCA